CATCAAGAGATTCAGATCAAGAACAAAAAAGAAGGAACTGATGAAGCTCCTTTATCTTCTGGTTGAGAGAAACAGGACAAAAAAAAGTATTTACACCAGTACAATAGTTCATCCTACTTATCAAAGATTACATGTTTCTGCCTTGTTCCAGAAGATGATGAAATGTTTCTAACCGAGGAAAATAAGATGAAAATGTTTATCAAACGATCACTGGCTCAAATGTTTATCTGTTGATAACACTGACTGAAATCGACACCTGTAGGGTGTAGTTTTCTGATCCACGACACACTGCAGCTAGCTCAATTGGTTTCAGCAAAACTAATTTGGTATGTTGATCTGAAGATAAATACTAGTACATGCTAGTAACCAGTAATGTTGAAACCCTCACAAATACGCTCTGAACACAAAGAGAGAACTGCCGCCAAGAGTATAAAACACGGATTCATATGGATAGGGAAAACAGAGTACAGAAACTGATGAAATATGTAGATAATGTTTATCCTATTTCTCAAAGATGAAATGTTTCTCAAAAGATCGAAACATCGTTGTACAGAACAACATAACAGACCCTGAACCGCTCCAATGTTAGGCATCATTGACCCTGATCCCCACTCGGCAGCTAATTTGCATCATAGAATCCTAGTTGCGACACTATCCTTCAGACCAGCTCTTGAACATCATTCGCTATTTCACTTCTTCAGGGTGCCAAAGCCTCCCCATTTGGTGCCTTAATTCTTGTCTACATTTAGTCTGGAATCTAAACTACAATACCATGACAAAAGTGTTTCCCAATTGTGGAGAAGAAAAGGATCCTACTCAAGGTGCTGATGACTGATGAACATCCGGCCTGACCATCAGCCTAGCACTAGCAGCACATAGCAACAGAGTGAGATGTTAGCACAACTGATATATACATAGAAAGCAAAACTCCTGTAAGAGGCATGCGATGCTAGCAGAATAAATTGAGTCAGACAGAATATAGTACATATGAATTTTACATAAAAAGCAACATTTCACACATGCACAGGAACATGCAATATGGTTTATGCAACCCTCCAAGACTGATGCAAAGAATGTCGCATCACAGAAAAGAGCAGAACAATGGCAGTCTTTTCAGAGCATGGCAAACATTGCAACCGCATACTGAATATGCCAAACATTGCAATAGCATTGGTAAAAAAGAAGAAGAAAACAGATCAAATGCTGAATGACAACAACACGTATCAAGCTACTTGTATACACATCAACAGATGAGTATTGACCATCAAGGCAACATGAAACATGCAGTTGCGACATCTAATGCCGTGTCTTGGGCATATCTTGGCAATTTCAGAACCTAATATCTGGCTGAACCACATTTTACAGACAGTGAACAATCTGTTACTAGTCTCTTTTTTTACAGACAGGTTCAGCAGAGACCTGACATTACCACATTTGAAGCCTCTACCTACAACCCCAAGGTTATTTACAGTGCGTCTAGGCGTGTGTTGTTACCATTTGAGTTTCCCCTAGTAAACGACAATATCAATGTTCTTGTTAAAAACAACTATTACCCGTATTTACTCTAAGAGGTAAAAAACATATTGATGCATGACCATCAATTCTATTATACGATTGAAAACTCACCAGGAAGAGATCCATACAAATGATTAAGTGGTCCAGCTTAATCACTATAGCATGATGATGATAATAGATTGGTTCGTTTAACACCAACTAATCACATTATTGCATAACTTATGTAAGACATGATTTAAAAGAGGAGATCTTATGTAGTAAATCTACCTTCTGCGAGTACACTATTTAGATAGATGCATAGATGTTCAAACTGGCATTGCTATTCCAAGTGTATAGGTAAGAAAGATAATAAAACATATGTATATAAATTTAGAAGGCAAATGGCTGACATGTTGCACCAGACACAAGTTCAAGATATGGTCAACCCATGGCACAAGTTTTTTTGAGAAATGAAAGCATTTTCTGCTTTCAGAAACATCATCTACTATCTATTAGCAAAACTGCATTGATTAAACAGTCTTCCAAGGAATGTGGATGAGAATTCAATAGATAAGTACAAATAGCAAACAGTTCTCCTTCCAAGCCCCAAGCAAGATTACTAGTAGTTTGCATATGCAGGATTACATGGCCATTTTTCTGTGGGAGTATATGACTAATTGGGGGCAGTGGCAGTGCCTCTTTAAAATTGTGGGCCCGGTTGATCCCAAAAGTTAATTGTGAAACTATTCCATAGAAGTTAAATTTCATGCGAAATCTTGGGAGAGCAATGCAAACTTCAAAGAAAATAAAGTATTTCACCACGCAGTTGTGCAGCCCTGGCAGCACTGCTGGTCCAAAGAAAGGGACAATGATAATACAGTACCTTCTTGAGAATCACCTTTCTCCGAAGATGGAGCAGCATCCTCACCATTGCTACCAGAGGTCTTTGAGTCCTCAGCATCATCTTTGCTGGATGTGCCCTTCACCGATTCTTCATTTGATACACTCCTGGAAACATCATCCAAAGAATCATTCACCTCTTGAGCTATGTATGCGCATTCATATTTGTCAAACGTGCTAGCACACCCTGGAGCAACTTCTCCATGACCCCCAACCCTAGGTGAAAACAAAGGCATACATTTTTATTAGTCTATACTTCCTTTGTAAAGAAATATAAGTGTTTAGATAACTATTTGAGTGATCTAAACGCTCTTATATTTCTTTACGGAGGGAGTAATTGTTAAGTTTATAGACAATACAAGGACATGAAAGTTACTGCAATCTGAGGTAGAATAGCACAGCTAAAATTATTCAATCAACCATTTTGATGACACGAGGTGTGGTAACTATGCTCTGTTCACTGATGTTTATAACAAGAGACTAGCCAGGAGCAGAGGTATAGAACTCTTCTCAAATACGATAATACATATCCCTCCAATATATACAGATTGGATATTCATGGCAATGCATAAATCATAACAAAAGATGTCAGGTCCTAACTCTCAAGTAGTGCCATCAAAACACTGAGGCTAATTCGACCCGTGGAATCACTCAAACACAGTTGAGGTCGTTGCCGAACAAAAGAAAGAAAAACATTGCTTGGCAACCACCTTGTCGCAGAACATCTAAAACCATTATAAACTCATCTTCCAAACTAAAAGACTCAAAGTCCCAAAGTAACTAAACTAAGGGCACATGGAAACAACCAACAGCTGATCCATCCAATAAATACACTTTTATTTGATGTTCATCGCATTGCACATATCATAACAAAAAATGTCAGGTCCTAACTCTCAACTACTACCATAAAAAAACACTAGGGCTAATTTAACCGCTGATTCCAAACACAAGAAAGATAAACACTGATTGGCAACCACGTCGGCGTAGAACATCTAAAACCGTTCTAAACTCATCTCCCAAACTAATGACTCAAAGTCCCAAAGTAACAAAACTAAGGGCACATGGAAACAACCAACAGCTGCTCCTAAAGAGTACTGAACTAATGGGAAGTATTTTTCCACAATCAAATCCATACACGTGTTTCAGCATTGCATAGCTCAGAACAGGGGAGGCTTTTAGTAGTAGAGCTCTCACCTGGCATTGAGGTCATGGCTGACACGTTCAACGGCGTCGACAAAGCCACCCTCCTTGATAGTATTGGACCCCTTGTCAAGTAGCTGCTGTGCCTCGTCTACTGTTTTCTCCTCCTCTCCCCCCTCCTCATCACCTACATTCTCACTAGGGATCGACGGCAGCAGGTCCTGGTATTCGAGACGGTCCACGGGAGTGTAGAAGCTGACAACTGGAATCAAATTACAGAAGCCATGATCATCGCACACCTTCTTCACCCGCTCCGACTGTAGCTCGATTGTGAAGAGGCCAGCCACCGTGTTAACGAAAATGACATTCACTCCCTCGGCAAATCCCAATACCATCAGTTCAGCCTCTGCATCCACGAGAGCAGCAGGTGGGAGCGAATTTTGCAGGTGGATGACCCGGCTAAGTACCCACTGTGCATCACTCTCCTCCCTTGACCACAGTTTGAGATGGGAACTGAAGCCTTCGCTAACTCCTATTCCACCATCCTCCGCCACCATAAGGTTAAATATCTGCTTGTTGCTGTTGTATGGCGTCTCGAAGCCAGTCAGGACGTTGCTGGCCAAGTCATACTCTAGGATGAACCCACCGTCGGACATGAAGTAGAGCAGAGACCTCCCAAGGAGCAGGCTGGAATGACATGTAAACGTCAACGCGTGGAACTGGTGACTAATCTTGCCCAGTTCACCGGACCACGTGCCAGTCTCTGACGAGTAGACGCACACCGACGTGACACCGGGCCACATCAGCACACACCGGACCATGGTGAAGACGAAGACCACGCGGAAGGGACCCCCGTTGCAGTCGCGGTGGTCGCACCCGTCCGCTGGGCAGAGCACGGCCGCGGTCCTGTACACGTAGCTGCTGTGCAGCGGGGGCACTGGTATGCGCCGCTGGACGCCCGTGTTTAGATCCCACACAAGGAGTTGCTGAGCACCAGATCCCTCGGACTCGGAGAGGAAGAGGGCGCGGCCGTGGCGGCAGTCGAGGGCGAGCCAGGAGGCGCGGTCCGGGGCGGGGAGGGAGAAGGGCGAGGCGATGGTGGAGAAGAAGCGGGGGACGCGCTCGTCCTCCCAGTTGTGGAGGAAGCCGATCAAGGGCAGTGGCCGATGCTGGTGCTCCTTGATGAAGCGGCCGCGGAAGTCGGGCTGGGAGACGGCGCGGCCCCAGGCCTTGCAGGCGAAGGAGGCGCGGAGGAGGCAGGCTGGGTCGTCGTGTGGGAGGCGGAGGAGGATCTCCTCGACGAGCTCGTGCGGGAGCGCCGGCGGCGAGGTGCGGTGCCGTGGCGGTTCTGCCATGGTGCTCCGCTCGCTGGGTCTCGTTGGTGTGGATCTGGAAATGGGGAAGACGGTGGAGTGGTTGGGCTCAACCACAACAACCAGGTTCAGCCTCAGAGACTCAGAGGGTGAAACGATCGAGACTGTTTTCCTTGTGGAGAAAAGAAACTGAAAAGGAAAATTTCTGCAACATTTCAACTTGCATAACTTTTACTTTCCTTGTACTCCCTCCGGTCCTTTTTACTCTGCATATTAAAATTCTCTAAAGTCAAACTTCACAAAGTTTAACCATATTTATATGAAAAAATATCAACATCTGCCATGGTAAAAGTATTACCTCGTTGAATACGATCATGGGTAGCACCGGGGACATACCACTTGGTCTAATGAGACCTCTGGAGCGGCATACCACAGACTCCAACGCAACGCAACACTCCCTTCCTTCTAGCATTAAGGCAAGGAGGAACAAGATTGTCTGCCTAAAGATTCGGCGGATTGTCGGAGGAGACCAGCCAGCCGACACGATCATCGATCGAGTTTTTGGTCATTTGCCTCCAACTCAACGCGGAAAGCCTTTCTCTAGATCAGGAGACGACACCGCCTACGACGAAAGCTTAGATTTGGCGAAAGAATAATTTACGAGTATATATGTACATCTTTTTCTCAAGAAATTTTTGTTACTTTTTATTATGGATTGCACTGAGTGCACAACACCGTAGTAGTTGGTCGGTTCGTAAAAGAAAAGAGGTTTAGAAAACGCCTTTGGTGTTGAGGCTTAGCCGAGCCTCCACTCCACTTCGAGGAGGACCATGAGCCTCCGCTCCGCCCAGATTCCCAATCCCCTCGCAGCGTGTTTGGCAAAAAATGGGAAGGGGAATGGGAGTTTAATGTAGGGAGTTGTATTGAGATTAGACATGGAATGAGTCGTTTTATTCTCAATCCTCTGTTTGGCGCATGATGAAAATTATGTGTGAGAGTTTGATGAGAAATTATATTCCCGTGTTTGGTTCGTGAGAATTGACAAGGAAATAGACAAAGGAAATTAACGTAAGTTATGATGAAGGGCTAAGATTGACTCACTAAAACAATTTCCTTCCAACTCCCATCCCCTCCCCTGTTAATAAAATAGTGGGAGTTAGAGTCTCAAGTCTCATGACTATGTCCTTATCAATTCCCAATCCCTTAACCAAACAATAGATTTGAAGTCTTGTACCCCTTCAATTCTCATTCTCTAGCTCTAACTACCCCAACCAAACAAACATGCTGTGAGACTTTGAGAGCGAGCGAGCAGCTCGCGTGTTGGGCCGGCCCACGCGAGTGTGACGCGTCAGCCATTCCACCCTCTCCCGCAGACCCGCACACACATCACATCCAGACCTAGCCACCAACGGTTACCATGGCAGCATCGCCGCCGCGCCGCCGCGCCTCGCCGCCGTCGATCCCGGACGAGCTATTCGAAGAGATCCTCCTCCGCCTCCCACCCGACGACCCCGCCTGCCTCCTCCGCGCCTCCCTCGTCTGCAAGGCCTGGAGCCACACCGTCTCCAGCCCCAGATTCCGCCGCCGCCTCCACGAGCTCCACCCCACACCCCCCGTGCTCGGCGTCCTCCACAACTGGGAATACGACGCCATCCCCCGATTCATCCACACCACCGCATCGTCCTTCTCCCTCGCCGCCCCGGACTCTCGCTCCTGGCGTGCCCTTGACTACCGCCACGGCCGCGCCCTCTTCCTCTCCAAGGGCCAGGACGCCGAGGAGCTCCTTGTGTGGGGGCCAATCACGGGCGCCCAGCAGCGCGTACCGGTGCCCGCGGCGTTCCAGGGCGACTACCCGACGGCTGCCGTGTTCTGCGCAATGGACGGGTGCGGCCACCGCGACTGCTTCGGGGGCCCTTTTCGGGTGGTCTTCGTCTTCTGTGTCGATGAAGAAGACGCTGAGCTGGATCCGTTTCTCACGTCGGCCGCCGTGTACTCGTCGGAGACCGGCATGTGGGGCGAGCTGACCTCGATGCACGGTGAGTTCGTGATGTACTTCGAATTTTATTCCAGCGTGCTCATTGGAAGGTCACTCTACTTCTTGTCCGACGGTGGGTTGATCCTGGAGTATGATTTAGTGAGGCACGGGCTGACTGTGTTCAACACACCTCATTGCCAACCCGATTACATGTCTGATGATGATGGGTTTGACTATAGATATAACCTAATGCTGGCGGAGGGGGGTGCACTGGGTGTTAGTCAAGAATTGGGTCAGCGTCTCAAATTGTGGACAAAAGAGCCAAGTTACGGCACTTATGCGATATGGGTACTTAGCCGGGTCATCAACTTGAATATGTTGCTTCCAAATGATGCTCTCGTGGATGCAACAAATTCGGTGCAAGTGTTGGGCTTTGCTCAGGAAGCAAATGTCATTTTCGTGGTGACGGTTGCTGGCCTCTTCTCAATTGAGCTGCAATCCAAGCGGGTGAGTAAGGTGTGCGGTCATCGTGGCTTCTGTAATCTGATTCCAGTTGTCAGCTTCTACACTCCACATGCTAGGCTCGAAGCACTCATGGGGCGAACACCATGACCCACCGCCGTGGCTGAACCCAACTCAGGCGATCTCTGCTGAACCTTCTCCAAAGAGGACTGATGGCAGATGATTCGCCATCCGTGAAATGGTAGCAGCTAGATGGAAGTTCAGAATTTGCCAAGATATGCCTGTAAGGCTGGAACTTTGTAACACGATTTTATCATTCCCCTGTCATATTCCCTCAATGCTTGATACTTACCTGTTGAATGGAAGGCTGGAACTTGATACTCATCCATTGTTTCTAGGTGTTTCTCAGTAATACCTTCCCACCACTATCCAGCTGCATTGTTTGTTGTGGTCCGATTTTTTCCATTGTTTCCTCTTTACTGTTTAAAATTGGAGGCATATTTGCTTTTATCTTGGAGGTTTGTAGAAGCCATTTTGGATGTTCTTGTTCATGTGCAAGAGGTGCTTCTTAAGCGCAACTCATATGTGCTATTTATTAAGTTCTGATTTACTTAATTTATCAGCTAGCATTACATGCCTCTTAGAGGAATTAGCCTTCTATAGATATCTGCATTTCTCAACACTTGTTTTTTATTCTTGCCGGTTCTTCTTTAAAAAAGATATATTTAATTCTGTAGTATGTGCCGGCCTATTCGGTGTACGAAATGTTCGCCTGTTTGGAGACTAGTTTTCTTCTTTTCAAATCAACATTTGTAATTTTATGTCTCTTAAATTCTGCAACGTATCTGAATTACATTTCATTTCTTAAAAAAAACTGTGCTGTGGGTTGACCATATCTGAATTTGTGTTCGCTGCCACATGTCAGCTATTTGCCTTCTAAATTTATGTACACATATTTTAATCTTTGTTATCAATACATTTGTAATAGCAGTGCCAGTTTGATCATATATGGATCTATCTAAATAGTGTACTTGCACAGGCTAGCTTTAACTACACAAGAGCAGCAATCCTGTCTTACATAAATTATGGAATAATGTGAGTAGTTGCTGTTAAATGAATCAGTCTATTTTCATGATCATGCTATAATGATTAAGTTTGTCGTTTAAGCATTTGTATGCATCTCTTCCTGTTGCTATTTCTTTTTTTCTAATAAGAACATTGACATAGTCGTTGGTTAGGGGGCAACTCAAATGGCAACAACAGAAGCCGAAAAGTACTGTAAATAATCTTGGGGTTGTAGGATAAGGCTTCAGATGGGGTAATGTCAGGCCTCTGCTGAAGCTTCTCCAGAAGAGGCTTGCAACAGATTGTTCACCGTTTGTGAAATGTGGTTCAGCTAGATATAAAGTTCTGAAATTGCCAAGATATGCTTGAGACACGGTATTAGATGTTCCTACTGCATGTTCATGTTGCTTCAATGGTCAATACTCATCTGTTGATGTGTATACAAGTTGCTAGATAAGTGTCGTTGTCATTCGGCATTTGATCTCTCTCTCTCTCTTGGTTATACCAGAACAACGTCGTCATGGTTGGGCCCGGAGGTGATCTGGCCATGGCACCGGCAGCTCAGCCGGAGGTGCAAGAGAAAGAGATGGACGGATCTGCTCCGCTGCCTAGCAACTTCTTCCACAATGTGGAACAAGAATTCCCTAGCTTATATCAAGTGGTTGTGCCGGAGGAGGAAGCCGCCAGGTTCGCACATAGCATCACCGCAGAGGGGAACGACAAACACCACTGGATGGAGGAGGGAACGCAGCCAGACCCAGAGCCTGAGGAGCCGGCCGCCGACGAGTTCATCTACGGCTTGCCTTGTCCACACTTCTCACCTGAGATGATCCGAATGTGCAGCAGGATGCTGTGGCCTCACCTACATCCTTGTCCGCCATCTTCTCCGGCCTCTAGTACATACCATCAGCTTAATTCATTATAGTTTTGTTGTGCATTTGTTTGCTCAGTCTGCCAATTAATGTTAGAGATCTGAGCTCGCTTGCAACAATGTAATGTGTAATCTGTAAATGCATCTAGTATTTGCAACATTCTAGTTTTCTGATAACTAATTGTTTAACCTCCATTCGGAAAGAAAAAGTATTAATCGTCACTACTAGCCTGCCTCTCAGAATTAGCAAGAATAGAACATTCTTCAAACAGTAGAAAATTCAAATGTTTCATTGCAACTGATGCAACACGTAGACAATAAATGTTTCTCAAATGATCACTGACTTGCAAAAACTACATCTAAGAGGCATGTAATGCTAGCTGATCAATTAAGTAAGACTACATACGGATGTATATAGACATACTACATACGGATGTATATAGACATAGTATAGAGTGTAGATTCACTCATTGTGCTCCATATGTAGTCCATATTGGAATCTCTAAAAATATTTATATTTAGGAACGGAGGGAGTAGAAAACAATGGATGAGTATCGCACTGCGGAGAGCCACTGATGATCCATCAGTTATTATGTGCTAATGCCAAGAACACCTAGTGACCAGATCAAAAAATTAGTATACAAATCAGCAGATAAGTATTCACCATTGAGCGAAAATGAACGGGGAGTAGTAACATCTTGTTAGAGTGTCCCATGCATATCTTGGCAGTTTCAGAATTTCTATCTAGCTGCTATCAAATTTCATTCACGGATGGTGAATCATCTGCTGCAAGTCTCTTTGGAGAAGGTTCGTAGGAGATCGACTCATCTTTAGCTCGTTTCATGTCTCTGCCAACAATCTCAAAGTCGGTTATGCTACTTCCAGTGCTTCCTCTTGGTGCTGCCGTCGACATAGTTGGGGAATGGAAGCTGTTGTTTGATCGTGCCATCTGCGAAGAAGTCAAAGATGCAGTTCTTGCCATAGTATTGTTAACACTCTGCTCATGACTTGCCTGTGAGACCACCCTCTTCATAATATTATCTATGCCGTCGCTTGGGGTTGACATTGCTTGCTTCAGTTCTTCAAGCTGAACCAAAACAATTAAGAGAGATGTTATTGTTCCTTACAAAACGTATTCTTCGTTCATAGAGCACTAGATTCATGAGCAGAACCAAACTGGTAGCATGAATAAAATTAAGTTTGTTCACCTTCTTCTGGAATCGAGGCAACATTCTAGCAAGGTAAGATATCTCATCTTCCAGAGTCGACTTTCCTGAGTGTCCTTTAGCAGCAGATGCTCTAAGGTCTCTATCAGCCAACAAAGCTTCCTTGGCAATTTTCAGATTATGTATACGCGACTTGCATAATGAAATAGCCTTTGCACAATATGGGATTGCATCCCCAACCTTGGATGCTAACTCAAAGGCCAAACATATGCGGACGTTTCTAGAACTGAATTAAGGTAATCAACAAAGGAAGAATTGAACTCAAAGACCTAATCATAACAAAACAGCATTATCTACCTAACATTTTTTTTCTGGTGATCACAGTCCTACTCCAAATCTACACTAACATGTGGATTCAAAAGCAGGTGAAGGCACCTGTGCAAGATTTGGGTCAACTCAAATTATTTGAAACCACACTATTATGCTGATTTGTTCTACTACTATACAGCAGAGTGGCTGACACTCTTATCACCACAAAGAGGATACAGATCGACAATTCGAAAATGGTCAGGCCTAACCAAATGTTCCAAGATCGCTAAAGCTTCAAAGTAGTAACCGATTGAGCTGTCTCTGTCCTCTACAAAAGTGAAAATCAAATGTGAGGCCTTAAATGACCATTCACCAGCCTAACACATGGTAACTGAGATAGCTGAGATTACCTCTTCTCATGGAGATTTCAGCTAGAGCAGTCAATATAGTAACCTTCTCCATTGTCTTCTCTGGACTCTTGGCAACTATCACCCTTGCAGTATTCAACATTTTCCAGGCCAAATCCAAATCAGAATCATCTCCATCGCCTGTCATGTTCCCATCCGTCTGACCTTTGCCACGCAAGTTTGCCCCTAACCAACAACAACTATATCAGCACGTACCATTGAAAGAAGAAAAACATTTTTTTCCTTTAGAAAATGGAAGAGTTTTATTATTCCGGGCCTCTGAATCGAGGATGCACACAGCCCAAGAGGAAACAAACAGCAATTAGATGCACACAAATGCATAGAAGATCCAACTCACTTAGTATACTGTGATCATATAATATTAGTGAAAACATTCCAAGTCCCAAACTATTAGTACTTTGCATTGGCATGGGCAAATTACTGATAATAAGTTTATTAGGTATACTCTTCATTAGGCATGAACAGACAATGAGAACTTATTGCAACCAGTAGTGTTATCAACTAGATACTACAGTATATAGATTTAAAAGGATAATAATGCCTTTCAGTGTATATGAGTGTCTAGGGCAGTAGCAGTGCCATGTTAAAGTTGTGGGGTCAACTAATCCTGCAGTTTTCTCTAGGAGACCATTCCATAAACCTGAAGAACAATGCAAAATACAGTGATATATTTCAACCTATAGTGGTGAAACTGATATAAATGATAAAGCATGCCTTCTTCACAATCATCTTTGTTGGTTGTAGGTGTGATTGATTCTTCATTCGGTGCATGCTTTGAAACATTACCTGAACGATTGGCTGCCTCCTGAGCTTTGCATAACAAGGCACCTCCATAACGGTAAAACGTGCTAGCACACTCAGGAGCAAGGCCTCCATAATGTCGAACCCTACGTGACAACAACAACAATGCATAAATTTGCTGATGCATCATCGTTAACATTATAGCATAAACATGTACTCTGAAGTGGACAAAACCATTTTATGACACAAGGTGTAACTACGTTCTGTTGACTGTCTTTTATAGTTACTAGTGCTTGCACAGATTATGAAGTACAAATCTGAGGAAGAGGAGCCATATAAATGAACTGCACAGTGATCAAATAGGATAATACCTATCCCTCAAGCACTTGGACTTTGATTTAATTCTCATCGCATTACAGACATCACAACAAAATATGATAATACCTATCCCAGGTGGTGTTGTCAGATCATATTGGCTAACTGGACTCACTAACCCCTCAAAGACCAACACCCACACCATTGTGCTCACTGTCAAATACGTACATGAAACCAAAACACCACCCTTGGTAACCACATTAACATAGAGCATGTTAAATCCTACTAAGGTAGCTACAAATGTCAGGACTCAAAAGGCTCTGAGCCACACATGAAAAGAACAATGAACTAACTGGAAGTTTTCTTTCTCACAAACTATCCATATGTTACGCTACAGCAGCATGCCTAGCTAGGAGAACAAGTGGAGTTTGGGAGTAGAATCCTAACCTGATCTCGAGAGCATGTCTGAAGCAGTCAGCCGCGTGGGCCAAGTCCTTCTCATTGATAGCCTTGCACCCCTTATCAAACAGCACTTGCGCCAATTCTAGTGATTTCTCCTCCCATACCCCTTGCTGACCACCCCTCCTCAGTAGGTTCAGCCGCGGCGCTGGGTCCTGGTGTTCACCCCCGGGCACTTGGAGCCCAGAATGTGGAGTGTAGAAGCTGACAACTGGAATCAAATTACAGAAGCCATGATTATGGCACACCCTTTTCGCCTGCTCCGACTGCAGCTCGATCATGAAGAGACTACCAACAGTTTTCACGAAAATAGCATTTGCCCCCTCCGCAAAGCCCAAAACTGGAACAAGTGTGCATGGATCGATGTCCAGGTCGATGATCCGGCTCACCACCCATCGTGCATTAGTGCCATCACTCGCCTCCCTTTTCCACAATATGAGCTGAAAATCAATGGCTTCGGCAACCCCCAGCAAACCGTCCTCCGCCACCATGAGGTTAAATCTGTGGTTTTCACTGCCGTAATCGTTAGGTGGTGTGTCCAACACAGCCAGTTCACCACTGCCCAAATTGTACTCCAGGATCATCCCACCGTCGGACAGGAAGTAGAGCAGAGACCTCCCAACCAGCACGCTGGAATTATGCTCAAAGTCCATGGCGAACTCGTGTTCCCTCGAGTTCAGCTTGCCCCACGTGCTAGTCTCTGACGAGTACAAGCACGCCGATGTGACAACGTCTGCGTTGGGCGAGATGTCGAGGGTGAAGACGAAGACCACGCCGAAGGGGCCCCCCGCACAGTCGCGGTGATCGCACCCGTCGGCTGCGCAGAACACGGCCGCGGTCGGCCACCCGCACGTGAACGCCGAGGGCACCGGTATGCCCTGACGGGCGCCCGTGATTGGCTCCCACAGGATGAGTTCCTGAGTTTCCTGGCTGTCGTCGGAGAGGAAGAGGGCGCGGCCGTGGCGGCAGTCGAGGGCGCGCCAGAACCGGCGGTCTGGAGCGGTGAGGGAGAAGGGCGAGGCGGTGGTGGGGACGAAGTCTGGGATGCGCTCGTCTTTCCAGTCGTGGAGGAAGCCGAGCACGGGGGGTGCCCGGTGGCGGTGGAGCCCGATGAAGCGGCGGCGGAAGTGGGGATGGGAGACGGTGCTCCTCCAGGCCTTGCAGACGAGGGAGGCGCGGAAGAGGCTACCTGGGTCGTCGGGCGGGAGGCGGAGGAGGATCTCTTCGACGACGTCGTCCGGGAGAGCCGGCGGTGGCGGTGGCGGTGGCGGCGGCGGCGGGGCGGCCATGGTGGGTTTGGGTGCGGGTGGGGAATGGTTCCGGTTCGGCTCAGCCAGGTCGGAACTGGGAATGGTTCGACTGTTTTGCCCACTAACTATAATTGTTTTCTACTAAAAAAAACTATAATTGTTTTTTTCCTGTTGATGAATCCATTTGGAAATTCTCGAAAACATAGCTACTCCAAAATATAGTACGTTTTTTTAGGCTAGTTTAGTCTAAAAAGCATCTTATATTTTGATACGGAGATAATATATGTATAGTGAACGCCTATTTATCAGGCACTTGGAAAAAATATTGAAGCAGTCGATTTTTTGTGGATCATTAGATCACCATTCAGCGACCAAGATCACACAGCCTCTGGATTTTTCTAAACATCCATTTTTATTATTATTATTATGGATTATCTTCCTTTGTTATTTGTACAATCATGACAGTTGATGAATAGATTGTAAGTTTTTCCAAAAAAAAAGTGTTGGCTAGACTGTATGCCCCTTCCCCCCTTCGCCACCTTTTACCACCATGTTCGTGTAAGTCAAGGTCATGTCTCTATGGCTAACTCCAACCGTCCGACGCAAAAAGACACCTTTTTGTCCGACTTTTGTCCGTTTGGATCGGTCAGACGAACACGAGCATCCGTTTGCGTCATGATCACACATCCATTGGTTTTTCTTAAAACATCCATTTTTTTTATTGTGAAGGATTATCCACCTCTGTTCTTTGTACAATCATGGCAGTTAATGAAATAGATTGTAAGTTTTTTCCAAAAAAAATGTTGGTTAGATTGTCTGCCCCCCCCCCTCCCCCTCCCAGTCGCCGCCTTCCATCGCCATGTCGTGTCAGCGAAGGCCACGCCTCTATGGCCAACTCCAACTGGCCGACGCAAAAGGACACCCCTATTGTCTGGTTTTTGTTCGTTTGGATTGGCCAGTCAGACAAGAGAATCTGTTTGCGCCAGCTAGCCCGTAGTTGCGCCCAACACGGATGATTGTATTTCGCAAATGAAATAAAACCATGTGTACGAAAAGTCCACAACCACTACCATACACTAAAAGACATTTAAAAGGCATAAAAACTACTCCCTCAGTAAACTGATATAAGAGCGTTTAGATAACTAAAGTAGTGATCTAAATGCTTTTATATTAGTTTACAGAGGGAGTACTAAAACCTAGATCTAGTACTAGTCGTAGTCATCATTGCCGTCCGTGGTGAAGTCGATGAACAGAGGTGGCTGCCATAGGTGGGCGGACGGTGCCTGCACCACTGGTGCACGCGGCGGTGACGGTGACCACGCATGCAAGGGTACGGGCGGGGCTGACACGAACTTCGGCGTCCATGGCAGCATCGATGTCCACGTCCACGACTGCCCCACCATCGCGGGTCCCAGGGAACAGTTGGCGGCTCCAAAACCACCCCGTCCTTCGGCTCCGGGACGACTACATCGCGTGTGGCCGACAAGACGAGCGGCACGTCCAGGCGTTCCCACTGGTTACGTTCGTACTTGGCCTTGGAGTCCTAGAGCACTTTCCGGATGACCTCGTCCTCCTCTTCGACGTTGAGGGCTAGCGGTGGTGGTGGCGGGGAGGGCAACCGTGCGCATATTGGGTGGGCTGGGAGTACGCGCACAGGGTGGTGTGGGAGCACGAGCATGCGGCCGTGACGGCTCGGAGCATGAGCAGAAAAAAAGATTTTTGTCGCCGCATGATATGCTCACCCCGAAACCAAGTGTCTCAGATTGGCAAGTCGGCAGCGAACATGGGGTCTTCAAGGAGATCTAGAGGCAGCTGCGCTCGCCGGCGGTTGATCTCCAGGAGAAGGGCGTGGCAGCTCACCGAGATGGGCGGCATGAGCACCCGATCCGTGCTCATATCCCACTTGTTAGGCAGGTGCGCATCGAGCCACGGCAGCAGGGTGGCCATGTCCTAGTACTGCTGGCACACTTCCACATTGACGTAGGGCTTGTGCCGTCGCACGGTGGCCGGCGGGGAGATGGAGAAGCCAGCGGCGTTGCTCAGCCTCGACGAGCCAGAGGGCGCCCCCCGCTTTGTGGTCGTGCTTCACGGTCTTTTCAGGGGTCCACTTCCACATCCTCATGGTTGCCGACGAGGGGAGGAGCTTGGGTGACGCGGCCTAGGGCTTGTCGGGCGCTTGGGGGCAGAGGAAGATTGTGGAAGGCGGCGAAAGTGGAGAAGTGGACTGGCCGGTCCATGCACAGGGGATAGCCATTAAAAAGGACCAGGACCTCAGCTAGGGGCGGCTAGGTGGCTGTCAAGTGGGCCGGTCCATGCGTCCGATTAAATGAGTCCGGTGGGAAGTGGTTTGGATGGCTAACAAACGGACCCAAGGGCGGACACCGAGAGGACACACGCCCATCCGTCCAGAGTCCGTTTGAATGCAAACTCGGTCCAAATTTATACCAGAAATTGGCGGCCGACATATTTTACGTGAGATGCCTCGCTTTGGGCATCTCTACCATAACGGATAGGGGCAGACCAAATGCGTTGCTGGGTTGGAGTTTGCCTAAATCTCTCGACCACCTGTTCTCCAACGTTAGCAGAGCCCCAGAGCCGCACTCATCAATCTGCTTCGTTGCCTCCGCCTGAGACCTCGCTGCGCGCAGTCACTGGTAGCGTTGTCCCCGTCTCCGGGAAGGTCCCAGCTCGGCCTCTATTAGACCTCTTCTGCTTCGTCCAAAATCTCAATGTTCATGAACTGTGCAGTTTGCCACCATAATTTTGTGCTCGTTTATTCACATTCCATAATTCATGTGATGCAAATAGGCAGACATGTGCAGGGCCAGAAATTTAAGTCTTGCCTAACAAAAACCAAGTTTTGTTCGTTCTAAGTTTTGCTCAGTCTGTGAATGTCAAGAGACTGAGCTTATTTGCAACATTGTACTGTGTAATACTCCCTCCGTTTCAAAATAAATGACCCAATTTTGTACCAACTTTGTACTAAAGTTAGTACAAAATTGAGTCATCTATTTTGAAACAGAGAGAGTACTATGTAGCAATCAATTGTTTTTTAGCAAGTGATGTTTATGCCACGGATGAAAGGAAATATTGACACTGAAACATCCCGTAAGTTGCTACGATGCAGAATTACGCGAGATACAAATTACAAATGTTGATCTGGAAAAGAAGAATACTATCCCAACAGGCGAGCATATCATTTACAGAACACCTAACCATTACAATGCTAATTAAGCGTCATTGCTCACAAACTGTAAGATAATGCATATAGTTTTTCAAGGCCTAGGAGATTAATACCCAAACTGCAGCTATAAGATAATGCATACACTATGAAATGAAATAATTTCAAACAGAGAAGTAGTGCTGACGGCAGAAGAAGGTCTTGAGAAATAGATTAATAACAGCCTACTTCAACTGCTAATTATTTTCTTGTGACCGAGAAAACATGCAGTAAAGGGTCTTGAGAAATAGATTAATAATGGAGTACTTCAACTGCTAGTTATCATGTTTCTCAAAGATGAAATGTTACTCGGATGATCACCAATTTACAGCACAAGGTCGCCATTCATTACAGAGTTTCATCGTTCCAATATTAAGCTTTGCATCAGACAGCTGTGTCTGGCTGGCGTAATCATGAGATCCAGGAGCATATAGCAACGAGCCGACGGCCATGTCTTCTTCGACGAAAAGACACACCACCTGAAAGCATTCACTTCTTCGACATCCAAAACCCATCATAGCAACAACACTGGGGTCAATGTCCTCAGGTTCATTCTGGGCCACCCTGCACTTTCTGAAACCATTTAAATCCAGTCAGTATGAATTCTACTGATTTTCAACAGCCCATGGACTGCTGACAGTAATTCTCATGCGCAGCAGAAAACTAATGGTAAAACAAGGCAGTAATATACACAAACTGTTGCATTTACCTTTGTATTGACGTTTCCTCTCCTCTTCCTCTTGCTGTTGCTCTGAAGAACAAGCGAAAGAGGACATGTTAACTGTTGCGGACAGCAATCTGATAGACAGTTCAGTTTTCAATGAGAATTTGGGATACACAGTCAAAGGAAGTATCTCCAAAGGTGATAGTGACAAAGATAATGTTAGGTACGTCTAATTGGCCCACCGAGCACCAAGTTAGGGAGAGGATTCCCATGATCTCTCGGATAGGAGTTTATCATTTAAATTAGGAATATATCTTTTAGCTTGAGCCTTAAACAAATTAGGGGTAATATCCATGATTTGTTACTTAGATCAGATTGTTAGGCTTCTATATAAAAAGAACCCCTTGTGAGGAATAAAGCAAGCAAGAACTAGAAGAATAGCTCTTCTATCTTGCCTGAGAGCCTCTGCTTAACATAGCACACAACAGGCAACCATTGGATATTCACATTATTGCGTAAATTTGTAACACATGATTACTACTCCCTCCGTTCCAAAATAGATGACCCAACTTTATACTAACTTTGTACTAAAGTTAGTATAAAATTGAGTCATCTATTTTACAACGGAGGGAGTACAAAAGTAACTTTTATGCAGCAAAACCTACCCGATACAAGTACACAGTTTAGACAGTAAACTGCAAGAAACAAAAAATAGTGAAGCCGCCAACGGTAAGAAAGATAAGAATAACTAAATAAGTATATATAACCTTATAAGGCAAGTAGCTGGCATACACTTTGCAAAAATGATCCAACCAATAAAACAAACATATTATTAAGCCTATTATTTTCTCCAACATCATCTACATTACAAAACTGAATAACATTATTAAAATTAAATGACCCCATACAGAATAATGTTGTAAATCCAAGAGATAAGTTCTATTGAATTCCAAGTCTAAACACACATGCAGGAGTATATGACCATTGTTTTATGTGGGTAATATGACTTTCTCGGGTGAATCGCAATGCCATGTTAAAATTGTAGGTTCAATTAATTTGACAACTTCTTTGAAAAATCATTTCATACAAAGCCTATAGAACAATGCAACC